CTCCATCAGTTTGCTCTGGCAGCCTGTCTACAAATGGAAGAAATGTACCATTGCTGCTACTCTCCCTTGGAGCACATGTTGTAAAAAGGATAATTGAAAGGGATATATTCCTCCAACAGGTGGCTAAGAACCTCTACAGGCATCTTTGTTCTTGATATCATCTATGTTCTTGAGTCTACCTTAAAGTAGAACTACACCCCCCTATCTTTTACAGCCAAGGAAGGTGCCATCTTGGCCTCTATTTGGATTGTAGTTGCCATGATGCTGCACATGTGATCAGCTATGACACCATTTGAGGGCTTGAAAGTTTGGTTGAGAGCTGAAATAAGCACCATCACAACCCTGACAGTTCTCATGCCTTAAAAGACCATTCAATTGGTTAAGTTCCACTTTAAGAAAACCAATGACTAAAAGTGAAAACCAAAAGCGAAAACTAAAACAGAAAACCAAAAACAAAAATGTTGCCCATGTTAAAGTGACATTAAAGTCACAAATATTTTTGCCCCCCCCCCTTTAAGGACATACTTTAAATCAGTGGTTCTCAACCTGGGGGTCGGGACCCCTTCGGGGGTCGAATGACGATTTGCCAGGGGTCGCCTAGGGGCTTCTGGCCACCCAGAAGAGAAGCGCTTTCTCTGCTCTTTTTTTTTTCTGACATCGGTCCCGCCGTCAGTCAGAAAAAAAAAAAACTTTCTCATCGAGCAAACTAAACCTTTCCAGGAGAAAGTTTTTTTTCCCCGACAGGGTTAAAAGTAAACCTGCCGCTCCGTGTGCACAGTGAGAGGGGAGAGCAGTCTTCCCCTCTCACCTGTCACAGAAGTTCCAGCACATTGCTGTGCTAGAACAACTGTATTGGAGATGACAGAGTCAATAAAGAGAACCTGTCACCTCCAATTGCTATTACACAGTGGCTATTACCTCTGTGTGATAGCAATGAAGTTAAGTGGAAAAAAAATAGATAAAATTATTAAAGAAATTAAGAAACAATTATTGAAAAATAAGAAAATTATAAAAAAATAAAAAATAATAAGGTAAGAGTCCTCCTCAGCTCTCTCCTAGCGCAACAGTGTCAGTTCTCTCTCCACGCCGCCAGATGTCGCTGCAGCAGCCGCGTCATTCCTAAATTTTACTGTTGGGGGTCACCACAACTTGGAAAATGTTACCAAGGGGTCCCGACCCTAGAAAGGTTGAGAACCACTGCTTTAAATGATACCTCTTGATCACTTTCTTCTTTCCAGTAGTTTTCAGGAGTCCCTCCAGCGCTGGTGCCGGTCTCTGATCCAGTGCTGACTGCTGTGTCTTCTGTGTCCCACGGAGTCTGTGCGCGTGCACGCTGGCGGCTGTGTGCATGGACTTACTGCATATAAGCCTGTCCCATCATGCTGCTCAGGTGCTCGAGAATCTTCAGATCTTCGGATGGGGCGAGCGGCGGAGACAGAGGTAAGTAAAACCCTGTTTGGTAACTCTTTTTATTTTGTTAATGTTTTTGCATATATCTACTGCTAGCAAGCAGTAGATATATGCAAAAAAAGAGAGTTTAATTATACTTTAGGTTTGTTAAAGACCATTTGGATGTTTTACAGCACTAGTGGAGCAATAATTAACTTTTACACAACATTATGCTTTGCAAAAACAAAACACTGCTGTACCAACAACATTTTACAGCAGAATATCAAGTTGTCTTCCTCTGATCTTAAACTCAAATCAAAGGTTGGTAATGTAGTTTGACAGTAAGTCAAAACAAAAGAACCAACAAATACAGAAATCCCTTATTTTTGAATGGTCAAGTCACAGTCCTGGTCAAAATCTCATTAAAATGCTGTCTCGGGATTTGATTATGTTCAAACGAGCCACCCCCAAAAAAATGCATCGATTGAAACAAAGATATCACACATTTTCTACAATCAGCTGCAAAAATAGTTTGGTTGAGGTTACTGGTAATGGGTTTGAATTTGGAAGTCCCAGTGGTACAGACAGGTGTCTGCATAGTTTTTCCATCACCGACCTTGACTTTGTCAACCTTTTTTTTTAATAATATGGCGATGAAAAACATTGTGCAGAATAGTTGTATAAGTAGGAGGATCAGATCACATTTTGGGAGGCATTCACCCAGAAATCCAGTAAATGTCCTAATGTTTCGCAGACTTTTTTTCACATTTGTAATATTTGACAGGGGGTGGAACGTCAGCCACAGAATTCAAGGCGCACATTAACAACATTCAATACTATAGGAAACACAGAATGTTTTCTATTTAATTTGAGGTCAGACATTGAGCAGCATGGACCCATGACCTTTTATCTAAACCGCAACTACAGCCTCCTATGACTTACAGCCAAGGAAGCCATTTTAGCCTTTATTTGGATAACAGTTGCTGTGGTGCTGCACATGTGATCAGCTATGACACCAGCCATTTGAGGGCTTGAACGGTCACTGAAATAAGCACACTGCAAACCTTGACAGTCAAAGTAACTGTTTTGGGAGACATTAAATTGATGTGTAAAGTTCCTCTTTAAACTTACAAAGTGCAATAGTGAACTATTAAAGGGTCCTAAGTAGGGATGCACCGATACCGATACTAGTATCGATATCGGTGCCGATATCGAGTATTTGGGCGAGTACTCGTACTCGCCCAAATGCTCCAATGCCTAGCCCCATACTTCCTGTATCAGGAAGCCGGGCAGCGCGTCATTACAGGCTGCCCGGTTTCCTGATGGCTGGGAAGTGGCTCCATGCTCTCTCGTCACTTGTGATGAGCCGGGCAGTGTGTAATGACGCAGCGCTCGGCACTCTGATTGGCCGGCAGGCTTTATGCTCCCTCGTCATCTCATGACGAGGGAGCATGAAGCCGGGCATTACACGTCGCCCGGCTTCCATGATTGGCCAGCTCCGGGTCCAGGTGGGTACCAGAGGAAGGCCGCTCCTGGCTGGATAGACCCCAGGGGTGACAGGCTGGACATGCCGAGGTAAGAGGGGACAGAGATCAGCAGCATATAAGCCATAGAGCCGAGCACTGCAAAGACATGCAGGTACATATGATTATTATTATGGGGATTCGTATGGGGCGGCTTTCTTGTTAATCGGGAAGCCGGGTGGCGAGTCATTACACGCCACCTGGCTTCCTGAATGGGACTCCAATACTCGGTAATTGGTATCGGCGAGTACCGGAAACAAATTATCGGTACTCGTACCAAAATCGGTGCATCCCTAGTCCTAAGGATCCCTTTATTAGTTAAATTTGTGGGGGCACATATTGGCCATGTATGTATACCTAAGGAGATTTTAAAGTGTTTATTTTAAGATGAAACCCCATAGAATAATATTTTAAAAAAACAACTGGTTTTAAAGCTCACCAACTTTTTTTTAACCGGTGGTCTTTTTTTCTTGCAAAGACCTGTTTCCAGATGGTGATTAATAAGGGGTCCTAACTAACCCTTTATCAGTTTAATATATGGCAGGGCATTTTAGCTATTTTTTATGTATTAATGAGTTGGTTTTTTTTTTAGTATTATAATTTAGGATAGAAAGAAATTTCAGTGCAACTCCTAAACTGCCTTTTTTTGGTAAAACTTGTAGGGTGTTAAAAATATGTGTTTATTCTCTTACTACACACTGTATACTTTCCCTACATAAAAGTGGCAATGTTATTTTTGTAGGGTAAGGTCTTTATAAATAGGTCTCATTGTATAATTATTTTATTCCAATATTGTTTATAGTATGGCAAGAAAAAATGGTAGTGAGAGCGATGACTCATGTAAAAAGATGAGTGGGAGCATTTTGATGTCAGCTTGAGCAGTCATTTGGCAACAGAATGCTGACAATGACACATGCAGCACATGGATGTACAGCTCTAGCTATGATGGTTAATAACAATGAGATAACATAAAAGGTCAGGAGTATGTTAGCACAAGACAAACTGCTGGGTTTCAGATAAACACATTTTAGCATAGTCTTCAGCCTACTTCAATGTGCTGACTTTTATTTTTATATGTTAAACTACTTTTTGATTTAAAGATTTAAAATAATGTAAGAGCAAGTGGCTACAACTGGTTGTAAATCCACCAATGGTTTGTAGTAGTGTAGTAATTGATGTCATGTTACCCAGATACCAGGTAATACAAAAATAAAAAATAAACTATATTTTCATTACAATGTTCTGAATGGGCCATGTGGTAAAAGGTAACCCATAATGGTTTTGGAGCAATTACTCTTTTATTACATGCAGTCCCCGAGTTACAAACATCTGACTTACATGTACAGCAGGGGTAGTTGTAATGCTACCGCGATCGTGCCTTTGAGGAGTGCCCGCCTTTTTGGGTCTTGTTCGTAGTGCTGTACTTACATTACAGGAAGTTGGCTCTTGTTAGACATTAAGACGAGGGGTGCCCGCCTCTTCTTCTGGGTCACTGAGGTTTTTACTGCTGTCTGTATCCTCATTAGAAAGATTTAATCTCACTTCCTGTCCTTGAGACAACAGGAAGTGAGAGGAAATCTGTCCCTAGGAAGGGAAATGCACTCCTGTAAGAGTTATCATGGGAAAAAGGTGTCTCGACTGAAGCTTTATCACCAATCCTTGTTTCCACGGCATCCCCAAATTTTGAAATTAAATTGTCACAGGGACATAAAGTAAGGTGAAATCTTCTGAACAGACAGCAAAACAAACTTTAGAAGGGGTTATCTCTTCCCTATGCTATCCAAAACAAAACAAAACATTTTGGGGCTGGAGTTACACATACAAAATGTACCTGTTCAAACTTACATACAAATTCAACTTAAAGGAGAACTATGGGGACAGTGTTTTTCTCCATAGTTCTCCAAAGGGTCACGGGAGGACATAAACTAGCGTCCTCCCGTGACCCAAAGCTCAGTATATCGCGAGCTACAGCTCGTGGTATACTGAGACCGCCGAACCTGGGACGGATCCCGACATTACTGTCGAGATCCACCCAGCTGCGTGATTGACAGCTGGCTCTGCCATATTCTGTATGTAAACCAAAATCACCTCTTTGTCTTTCCTCCACTGAGATTCCCGTTCCTCTAGGTCCTCATGTGCTCTGTGGAGTTCAGAGGTCAGATGTCTCAGGTCTTCTGTTAGTTTGTCGTTAGCTAGCTTAAATTGATCCATCTGCTCTCTTAGGGTCATGTTGACTTGTGCAAGGCTGCTGCTCCTGTAAGTTAGCAGGGATCATAATTTAGTAACATTCAAACAACTCTTGAAAGGATGCTCAGATAGGCTAACAGGGTGTTAGGGCGGCATTGGATGGCTAGGGTGGTGGTAGTCTGTTGACCAATACTACAAAAGCCAGAGAATGTATCCCACATATGAATTTGTATAGGTGGATAATCCCTTCAATTACAAAGTACTAAAAAGGGTAGGCAGAATTGAAAGCTGGTTAAATCATAGTTCTTCATACCTCTGCTGTTCATCCTCCAGCCTGATCAAGGCACTTTTGAGGTCTGTACTGTGTTCCTGATCCAACCTGTGCAAAGTGGACTCTGCTGTATCCAGCTGTGCCTGTAACTAACAGAGATGAACTTTAAGTCATATATATAGTAGAAACTCTACGTCTACACAGCACAACTAATATACAGAAGAAGACCACAATCTAGAAGTACCAGAGTTCAGTGACAATGACCCCAGATCACATTTTGCAGATGCCGACACTTTGAGGAGCACATTACCTGATATAAGATACATTTATCAGTAGTATATCTGTAAAAAATAATTCAAGGCAACTGGTCTTGCTGTAATGATGTTTCACCGGTCATCTGACTAGCTTTCTCAATTCAGAATTACTTTTACAAAAATGATCTGGGAATAAATATGGTGAATGTTGCTCCAATCCACATAATCTGTTAATATGTTAATCACAGGTGTTGATTGTATTTGCATAATCTGAGCTAGGAGGTGTTATTAACCTGCCCAGAGAGAGGTGTTGAAACAGCATTGTTTGTGGCAGACAATAGATGTCTGCCACAAACAATAGATGTCTGCCACAAACAATAGATGTGTTATGTACATGTTTTCCTGTAGCACTTTAATTTTTTTCTGCAGTGCATTGTGATTTTTTTATTTACTGTGAAGTAAATATCAAGCATGCCTTTTTATTTTCCTGGACCTCAGCTTGAATTAACAGAAGGACTGCATATGTGTCAGGTGAGTATTCTGCTGGGTCTTGGTGGCGAACTGACTCAGAACTGGCAGATATCTCCCTGCCTGTCGCACTTGGAAAAATATTTGCCTATCTATATCCAGCTTTATGCTTCACTCCAGGAAAAGCAAATATTGTCTAAATACAAAAGGCATGTGAAGTGTTACTTGAATTTTGATGTGCTTTGTGTATTTCTTCTAGATCTGTGCAGTAATTTAGTGTAAAACTGCCACTGTGCAGGAGCTTGCAGTAAGAAAGACTTGCCAAATCAGTTGCTGACAAGCTCTATGCAGTCTCAAACACTGGACAAAAGGGTATTCAATTTCAAGTCATCACAGTCCTAATACATGTTTCCCCTTAGTAGGCCTTGAGGGGGTATTTGTATGAGTCTCTGAATCGCATTAGCTATTTCTATACTGTCCCCTCAACCTTATATTGTATAAAGATGTACTGTATCTGGACTATTAATCAGAGTGTGGAGCTTCAATTCATCATCCTGTAATTTAACATTGTACAAGACCGGTCACTGCTGCTCCCCTTGTGCAGGGTGACTGGTCTTGTCTTCACCCCCATCTGTAGTTTCCTGCAGGCAGCCTGTAGTGGGTGGAACTACTGGTGCCCTCTCATAGCTTTGCTGTGTAAAGCGCAGTGATGATGTCACTACTACTACTACAAGGTAATAACCTGGCATTTAGTGCACACAAAGTGCATCTATATTGTTTGTGGCTACAGAGGACTGTAATTAAATAAAAGTTTGTGTGTCCAGGGTTGGACTTTAATAACTGCTCCCATTTCTTTTTTGTTAAAGGAGAATAATTGGGAGAGTAAAATATACTCCTTCCAATACTTAGAGCTGGCATGTGACATGCTGGCTCTATAAATCGAGAGCAGACATGCAGAGAGCGGGGACTGTCAGTCACTGCTCCTCCTGCAGGGATTCCCCCTCTCCTTTCACTGTTCCTCCAGCGCTCATTGAAGAGACAGACAGGGGAGGGAGCGGGCACAGCTGGCTCTGGCTTCAGGGAAGTAGAGCTAGGTGTCAATCAGGTAGCGGGGTGGATCCCAACAATATTGCTGGGATCCTTCCCAGCTATAGCACAGCTTTGAGTTGTGAGCAGCAGCCCGCTATATGCTGAGTTTGGGTCACAGTACATTAGTGAATATACTCCTGTTTTGTTTTTTGTTTTTTTTTAAGCCCGCTATGCGTGTGCAAACACTAACCACCATCATGAACAAAAAAGTCCGCGTGAAACACACACAAAAAAGTGCACTAGGGTGTGTCAATGGTCCATCTGCCGAAGAGATAGGGTACTTCCCTGACTCCCCAGGGGACAAGGCTCCCGACAGGTGCAAGGCACTCATGTCCACCTGGCCGACACCAGGCAGACCCATTCTTCATGGTGAGCTGAAGCACCAAGTACTAGGTTGGGTGCATTCCCTAAGAGAGACCCCTGGTTCAGGGGAGGAAGGAACCTAACGGCCACACATCCTCCCTCAGACTTCAGGGTAGGCCTGAAGATCCACACCCTCCATCCTTATGGAGTGAAAAAGGCACACATATAAAAAGTGAAAACAGACAAATGGAAAAAAAAAGAAATAAGTGCCAACAAACTAGACAATGGCTAGGCCATGTGGCCCAGTATAAAAATGTTCTAGGCAAGAGGCAAAGTGCAGAAAAAAAACCTCCTGTGACCCAAAAGAGAAGTAAAGACACAAAAAGGATTGGCCTTAGTTCTCTTTTAATGCCACACTAATATAATGTTGGACTTCTATAAAAAAGACTTAGAGTTCCACCACTTCTAGTAATCTGATTTTATTTCTGTGACACATCACAGCTGTAGAATTCTTTTCAAGGAAAGGTAAGTATGAAGTATCTAATTCCATGTTTTTTTTCATCTACAAGAATCACAAAGTTGCAGACACCTGCAGCCCAGTGGTGGGAAAGAGGCATTCCAATGCAAGGCATAATACAAGCGAAGACAAAAGGTACGAGGCCGTAGCATGTTACTAAGTGTTCCCAGCCACCACAGGTGCTCGGAGGAATGGGCTGGAGAGGATTTAGGCAAGACATGCTTAACAGCACAAATACGGTGCCAAAGCTGCTTAAATGTAATAGTAAACATTGTTTTTAACTGTGTAATTGAAAGACGGAAAGACCAATTCAGACTTGTTTAGCACGTTATTCCTAAATATTTTTCACATTCCTAGCATTTTAAAAACATGGGCTGAACATGTTCTGTGTAAAACGTCAATAATGCAATATTTCCCTCCATCACTCATAGACGGCTCAAACCTTCAGCTGACTTACAGGAAGCACTATGTAGCTTTGTGTAACAATAACAGGAAATGGCAATGTTTACACTCTGAGAATTATTAGCTAGGTTGATAAGGTCGAGATTTCACAAAATGCCAAGAATAAAATTTCCTCAACTTCATTGTGAAATTCTGATGTTAAAGCAAGACAAGAATACTAATGTATATCTAAATACAGTACAAAACGTTTCGTTTGGGCGTGGAAGTGTTTAAGCGCTTGTAACGTTTTTGTTGGATGGCTTGTCCTGGAACATTGTCACTGGGACAGGAAGTGATTGGGCATCAAAAAATTTACAGGTGTCATAGAAACAGCAATAAAGGGGAAATCGTACAATGGGGACACCAAGTCAGGTGAAATCTCAATGTAACAAAACACAAATGAAAGAGATTCGATCTATTCCCTACTTCATCCAAAATAAAAGATTTGGTTTTAGATATACTTTGACTTATATGCATGTCCACTAAGAGGGAACTCATAAGCTCATGGGTAGGCAACTTCGACACTCACCCTGTAGTTAAACTTGAAATCCCATCATGCATCTGCCCCAGAAGTCATGACCGTGGCAGTCAGAGTCTTGCAATGTCTCATGGGAGTTGTAGTTTTACTTTATACCCTCTTGACCCTTGCTTTCTGTTTGTTGCACACCCCTGACCAATGCACTCTGTGAGTTACACACCCCTGACCCCTGCACTCTGTGTGATACACACCCCTGCATTCTGTGCATTATACATTACTGTATCCTGAACATGGTGTGTTACCCCTGCCTATTTTAAATGCCTAAACTCGACAAACTGTGTATTATATACTCCTGACATGCAGTCATCATGCCCCATATTTGGTGGCACTGCCCTAAATTGCGAACCTTTTGGAATAAATTTTGTGCCTACGAGTCATTTGGTCCCTTTGTGGCTGGACGTACAGTGTACGTCTCCCGTCACGAAGGGGTTAAAGTATTACGCATTAATGTTCCACGGGACCCACAATATATTTTGTTGGATAAACCAATCCTGAAATTGAGCAAGTCACAAAATAAGTTAATTCTCTTTTTTGTTTTAGCAGCCAAGATCTGTATTACAAGGGCTTGGAAAATGCCTCGTGTCCCCTTTCTGTGTGTCAAATCTAAGCTTAATTGGATCGTGATTCATGAAAAATTGTATAGTATCCTTCAGGATAAATAACCTCAATTTGAGAAGGTGTGGGAACCCTGGTGACAACATCTGGGTCTTCTTGATGGTACCTAATTATTGCTGTTGATATGGACATAGTGGGTTGAGGGGGCCTGGGTTCCGAAGTCTGTTACTACTTTTTTCTCTCCTTCTCTTTTTCCACCTCATAATATTCCTCCTTTTTCTCTTTTTTTCCACCTTTTTTGTCAGCTTCTCTCATGGTCGGAATCAAGCTTTGTTTGGTTTCTGACAGGAATATATTGCCCCTTTTTATTTGAGGGATTATCACCATATGTGCTTGATATATATAAAATCGGTACTTTCTGGATAATGAGAGTTCGTTGGGTATTGTATTCTACTCAGGGATGATCTTTTGTAACTATGTTCTTATTCCCGTTATGTTACCAATGAAATACTGTAAATCTTTTGTATGATTTCTATTGCTCGATACTTTTGGGAATAATGTCCTGGCTTGTTTTTTACATGTATTTTGTAATTTTTTAAAATTCTCTTTCATAAAAACTTTGACAGAAAAAAACTAAATAGTGACAGTTATTTTCAGCCGAGTCCAATGAGATTTGAAAATGACTGTCACATGACTAAAATAAAGATCCTTATCCTTGTGCAAAAATGTGTGTGAATTGTGCCTATGGTATCCTGGAGCATGCTGTAAATGTGCGTTAGTTTAAAGGTAAGACAGAAGTATGACACCGATTTCTAGTTTTTGGGTTTATTTTAACTGCGGATTATTTGGGCAAATAAGGACAAGAGGTGATCAGAACTTTGGGCTGATTTACAATGGCAGGACTGAAACACATCTGTGTTGCCAGATACAGCCAAATAAGTGGATCGTGACTGGTCACTATGATCAGCACAAACATGGCTCTATAGTTGTAATAAATCAGCCTCCACTGTATACTTACTGACAGTCTCTGATGATCATTATCTGTGGATTTCTCAAGAAGATTCTGTTCCAGTTCTCCACACTTACTCTTGTATTGTAAGACCTGCAAATTAGGGACTCGGTGTCAATAAAAGCTTTTAATGAATGACAACATTATATATTTAAAGGAAACCTATAACAGGAAAAATATGTAGGCTGTCATTACTGACCTACCTCTTAAAATGTTAGTTGCCTGGCTGTCTCTGGCTTTGGTACTATCTGGATCACTTCTCTGATACAAGCATCCAGAAACTTAATCTATCAGGCAACTCAAAGTTTCTGAAGAAGAGGTCAGCAGTTGCAGGTGTCAAAATCTTTCTCAATACAGGTTTCTGTAGACCAAAAGTCTAACAGCAACCATGTGGAGACCCCATAGGTTGTTCTACCACAGCTAAAATGCAACAGATTTAGTGGAAAATTATGAAGTGTGAAAGTCAATGCTAAAAAAGGATCTTTGCACTTCTAGGCAACTCACTGCCTTCCAGATGCATTTTGGGAGATTGATGGTGAATTATCATTCTCATTCTTGCATCACGTATTTCTGTTTCAATACGCTTGATGGACATTTTGTTAAGGGTATAACAACTATCACACAAATGTATACCAGTCATTGGTTTTGACACCTGTATACTGTATAGACATTACATGTACCAATAATGCAAAACATTAGCAAAGTATCATAAGAAAGGAGGCTCGTCAATTAAAAAGAACATTGAGGAAGGTTACAGGTCAATAACATGTCAAAGCATTCCACATGCATAGTATGTTAGAACCCAGGCAAGGTGCTTATTTACAGTTGCTGTACCTTAAATGTTAAAGCAGAACGCCGGGTAAAAAGTTGTATTGCCCTTGCAGTGGGGCTACCCCAGCACTGCAAGGGTTAAGTGCGTTTTGGTGTCTAGGTTCAAAAATAACAAAGTTATACTTGCCCAATCCTCTGAGCCAGCTGGCTGTGACAGCGCTTCCTCCTGCCTGTCTCCTCCTCCACTGCGGTGGCATGTCCCTTGGCGTCCTCACGTCCTATACACGGTGTACAGAATGTGACAACTCAAGGATCCTTACACTGCTGCAGCGGAGGGGAAGCGAAGCTGAAAGGACGAATCTAAGAACATCCCGGCTCTCCGAGGATCGGGTGAGTATAACTTTTTTTATTTTTAAACCTACACACAAATGAACACTTATTCCTTAGTTCAGGGGTAGCCCCACTACTTTCCATATTTTTATTGTGGTTACTAAGCATAATTACTGACTCTCTATAAGCTTATCATGAGAACTGCCCTCTATAAATGTATCATGACTACAGGAAATCTATTTTTTCATCATGAGCGGTAAGCTAGTAGCACTCCTGATTTCTGAGCCTCCATAATCTCGTTCTATGTAAATAATAATCATCATTTGTCAATTATCTCTTCATTATTAGCAATCATCCCATAAAGATTACTGATCTTCTGTGTCATCCTCACCATTTGATCTTCTTAGAGTAATTGTTAATCTTGGTCCAATCAACGTAAATCCAAATCCCTTGCTACATTGGAACAATTACTGGTTTATAACAATGTCAAGTGTATTATGAGCGTCTACCTTATTCTGCAATCTTTGTACTAGCTGTGATTGCCTCTGCTGACCCTCCTGGTAGGCAGCCAGTTTGCGTTTATATGCCATCTCCTCTTCCTGGTAGCGTCTTCTCAAGTCTGAAACCGTTTCACTCTCTCCAAATTTCATCATCTGTTCCAGCTGTCAAGAGGAGCAGAGAACATAATAAAGTTTGCAAAATGAACTGCAATTTACTAACAGATATCTAAATCACAGAATATAAATCATTATTGATAGTAGCAGTAGAAAAAACAACTTTTCAATCTATATAAAAGTATGAAATAGTTATAGAGGCCCCGCATATCCTATCCTGTTATACCATCAGCATTGTAATAGGAATACATACTAGTGTTGTTTTTTTTAATGCAATCAAAGCTAACTGGACAAAAATCCCTTTTATATAGTGAGTGCTGCCTTCTGTCTGCCCATCACTTTCATCAACTCCCGGGATTTCCAGTGTGCTTTGCACCTCTTTCCCTTCTGCTTGATGTGATAAAAGACTTGATTTCTCAAGACTACGTAGCCCATCATGCATTGCTTCCAGCAAGCAATGATAATGTTACATTGTTGAGACATTGGGTGTAGTTCAGAAGGCAAGCGCCTCAAGAGTTTCAACATAAGGAAGTGCATATTCACAGGGCTGAGTGCATTGAGGAAGTTCATCCTATGGGCATCTTCAATACATTTACAAACTTCTAGATTTTGAAATTACAATAACGTGTTAAGGCCTAGATGAGATTTTAGTAATTGGGTTTGCATCTTGTTTAAGGGCCCTTCTATCTCAGTGGTGAGATCTCGGACCCATAGTTCCTGCCTTTGGTCTTCTCCACCTTGGCATTTTGGGTATTTTCAATCACTTTTTGGTCCATTGCTTCTTTTGTATTCTGCATACTGTAAAATAAATAAATAATCGAACATGGACCTATAGGAAGTCGCACCCGCACATTTAATCAGGCCGCCAGATGCATCCGGAAGCTATGGAAACAGTCACAGCCTCCTTCCATTAAGCCTGATGGCTTTATATAGTTAATGAAATCAAAAGTATAGAATACATAATCACCCTAAACAGAGGTAATCGCAATGCTTTTTGCAAGATTTGGTTTATTGGACAGAGTTTTCCTCAACCCAGGAGTATGAGGCTCTACTCTGAGACTCTACCACTCATTGAGAGCTGGCTGCGATGCAGCGCACAGCAGCGCGGAGGTGAATTGGGGTGCGTGCAATGGTAATGCAACAAACCTAGCACACAGTAACACATGCTTTAATTCATGAATAACACCAGGTCTATGGCGACATAATCACTATAAGAAAAGGGCAAATTCTTTGTAAACTGACACAACCTATCAGAAAATTAATTTCACTTTGCAGCAGCTTTAAAAATAAACTAAACATTGGAAGTTATATTTCTAATGAAACAAATACTATCGCTATACAGTATATCACTTTAACCTTTTGCAAGCATTCTCCTATATCTACTATGTAAACAGAAAAAAACACACAGCGAAAGCTTCAGTGTTCTTGCTAACATTTGGAAGTGATCTCTGGGAGTGGTCGCTCCATAGAGAATAGTGCTGCTCACACACCGTGGCCCCTGTTAGAAGGCAATGCTAACTCCCTATCCTTACAGCTCCATGAACGTTGATTGAGCAAGTCACTGTACAGAGTAACTGGTCCCCAGGGGATCACATCAACCAGATTTAGTCATGTGAAGTGCTAGGATAAAATGGCAGAACGGACTTATTTTCTTGTTCGTAGGAACATTTTATTGTTTCTGTGGAAACTTGTAGATGATAGTCACTAAACCTAAAACACATGTTACATTACGAAAAAAGTAACTGATAAATATCCAGAGAATGAAATGTAAATGTTGGCATTCTATAAAATAATTCTATGTAATAGTTTTGTTATTTGTTGTGTAGCACAGTGGCCTATTGTTAAACCTAATGTTTTGCATTACTAGACATTTAGGCCAGGTTCACAACATTTTCCAAACAAAGCAGTGCATTGCGTTTTGCCGCATTTTTACTGTGATGTTGCCACATTCCAGAGCTGTTTTTTTTTTAGTCCTTTTTCTTTTCTCTTGGCTTAAAATAAGCTTTCAGGTGCGGTCCATTGTGTTTGCATACGTTTTTGATGCGTTTCCATGCATTCCAGTACTCCAATTTGCAGACTAGAGAAAATGAAACAAGCAGTATTTTTTTGTCTTGTACAGAACGGACTGTGCTGGTGTGAACAGAGCCCAGCCCAGCTTTTTGGTCCGGGAACACACTGTTCTGGTCTGGACATGATCCGGACATGGTGTGAACAAGCCCTTAGGGCTGCAAAGAGGATGTTTCCTGCAACTCAACTGGAAGCCAAGTGTCTGTAGGAATAAACAAAACGAGCATTGCACAATGACAGCTTTATTTCATATACATTCGGCTGTGAACGTATTTGAATTGTGTTTATACCTTCTGAGCTGTGTATAGAAAGTCTTCTGGATTGTGTATTTCGGGAAATGTATTACAACAAACAAAGTGTTTTTCATGAGTTGTGTGAGGCCGACTGTCGCAAAAATTGATTATTGCCCGCAGGAATGTTCAAATTTTCTTGTTGCAGGGCCACCAGATCTGCAACCTGTCAATATATCTCTGGGGCCACCAGACCTGTCAATGAATTTATCTCTGGGGCCACAGGACCTGTCAATGAATTTATCTCTGGAGCCGCGAGACCTGTCAATTTATCTCTGGGGCCGCCGGACCTGTCAATTTATCTCTGGGGCCGCCAGACCTGTCAATTTATCTCTGGGGTCGCCGGACCTGTTAATTTATCTCTGGGGTCACCGGGCCTGTCAATGGATTTATCTCTGGAGCCATCGGACCTGTCAATTTATCTCTGGGGCCGCCGGACCTGTCCATGAATTTATCTCTGGAGCCATCGGACCTGTCAATTTATCTATGGGGTCACCGGACCTGTGCATGAATTTATCTCTGGAGCCAACTGACCTGTCAATTTATCTCTGGGGCCACCGGACCGGTCCATTAATTTATCTCTGAGGCCACCGGACCTGTCCATGAATTTATCTCTGGAGTTACCGGCCACTGTCCTTATTGCCACTGGAGCAAGGCTGCTTACTGTGCATGATACAACATTTATTTATAAAACACAGTATAAAGCCTGGTTCACACCTAGGCGGCATTGTTTTTGCGAGTTTGTACGCAATTTGTTTTTATTAATTTTTCTGTCGATGTTTACAGACTTTTCTGCATTGCCACTAATCTGCCAATGTCAAAAGGCTCTCTGTTTCAAGTCAAAACTGCACAGGCCATTTCCAGTCACACAATCCATGCACTCCAGTTATTGCATGTTGCTGAGATCTGCTGTCACTTGAGATCTACTGTGCAAGACCACAATACAAACATTTTCTGCAATTATGGCAACATGGAATCATCTAGCATCATTACAGAAGAAGGGAATGTGCAATTTGAAATCACTTGCAATTATTTGTGAGTGCTCTTTGGCTACACCACTATCGTGACCGATAAGCCTTCAAATCTAGAATCCCTGCCTTCAAATCTAGAATCCCTGCCCCGTTAGGCCAACTGTCCTCTGCTGCCCTTCTCTTACTGATATTAACACCCTAATCCTAGAATCTCATGATTAGACATCATAACCACACAAAGCACACAGAGGTGGGAGCTAAACAAATTGAAAGATACCATTTTGACCCCCAAGCACGAGGCAAAATAACCACCATCTAGATATTCCTATTGAGTCTCTACACGTACAGCAGTGGCAGGCATACTTGGGTACAATTCTTAAACAGAAAGTATGGTTGCAAATCTGGAACACCACTGAACATGGCTCTATTGACTCTTTAGTAGTAGAAGATAATTATAAGCAATTTACGTAGTATGGACCACAAAGATGAGTCAAATTTGGTGGGACTGGCAAAGAGGTACTAGATCAATTTCTAGCAACTTGTATGCACTGTATTAGGCAATGGTCTTTAAACATATACTTTATGTGAGACCCATATGGCAAAGTCCAACCTAAGCTGTTGGTGCAATACATCATAAACTTGTATAAGTTAAAGGAGAACATTATCATCTTCACTACACAGTTTATCTGGGAGAAAGTCATTCTGTTTTACAGCTTCAAAAGAGCAATATAACCAGCATCTGCTTAGGGTATATGTCTCAATTTTAACTGACCCTACTTATAGCCATAGCTAAGATTTAATTTCTGGTCCACGGAAATTTGAAAGATTTGAATATTGCAGAGGCACCATCATATCCAGGCATTGTGCTGTATTCAAGCACAGAAATGTAGAGGACTATATTGGGGTCCCACAATATCTTTAGTCAGTTACATGCACTGTAATAAGAAATGATTAGACAGTAAAAGGAGTTTTCCGCTCATGACACATTATTTATCTGAATAAAGGGCCCCCAATACACTGATTAGGTCTCTATGGTTGCATGACCTGTTAAAAACTGGTGTACAGCCTAGCTAGTTATCTATTGTTGCCAAACCCCTCCTCATGAAGTGTTTCAGAATAGCTGTATGCTTTTTTTTTTATTTCACTGTATTCGTAAGTTTAGATCCAGTTAAGCCAATTTTGATATTTAGCCAGCAGCTGACTGGCGCCATTAGCACGATGCTGCCACGGTTTTAAAGCTCAGGTACAGACGGGGTGATCTTTATAGTTTGTTTTACATTTTTGCAAAGCATACGCCCTAAAATCATCGAGCCAATTTATAGCTATAAGTGTCCTTCAAAACATATGCCCTTTAAAACATGCCATATACACTGACCCTTTTGTATCAGAGGATACAACACCGTTGTTAAGAGGTTCAATTAGTGGCTAAATGGCACTAAAACGGTTTGGAAATAATTATTAACTTGACAGCTCTCAATCTGATATAAAACATTTGTGCCGTACAAAATCCGTGGAGAAATATTTATGTTGTCCAATAAAATGTGTCACTATAGAAGCAATTATTTTTGCAAGTGTGAAAGTTTGACGTCTCTGGTGCAGCTAGAAGGGATCTATGGGGGGAAGGGATGGGAGTCGGAGATCACACGTCCCTGGGAAAGTGCTTGTGGGGAGGGCAATGCTCCCACCGGGTTGTTAACAGCCAGACAGTTTATTTGGTGCTGTTATGAGAGAGCGTTAATTCTGCTTGGGAAGGTGGGAATGTAACCCTGTGGGGGGAGCGGAGGGATGCAGCTGGAGGTAATGATGCAAGCTCTGCTCTAAGGGACAAGGTCACAAGGCAGTCAAGGACCTTGTTGTCACTGTGTTGGCTTGTAGTAGGCTGCCAAAGGCTGACACAGCACATAAACAAAGATTTCAGCCTCTGCTTGAGTCAAGATGAATATGACATACAGATGGCACTGTGAGAGAAACTTGGTTACTGCTTTAAACAGTACCAAACATTAACATATGCATGCAAGTTATTACTGTACTAAGGTTAAAGATATGCTCCAGTCAAAAATTAGCACTATAAACTGACTCTGAACTGCTGCACAAACTCTTTTTATCCCAACATTCATCACATCCATCTGGTGGCCCTCCCTGCTTGCTTTTTCTTGATTGACCACAAACCTGAGCCTGTAAAAATGCAGGTCACGGTGTTCCCAGGTTCATGCACCATTCTATTTCTGTAAGAATGTAAGAAGATAGCGCACAGCCAAGATTCTGATGAGAAGAGGCTGCAGCCCTGCTTATAGGCAAAAGAAATCTGCTAAATAAGTCAGCATTTCTTTGTAAAGGCAACCTGAGTACTTTCTGACTTTAGCTCAGCGTGAATGTTTCCTAGACAGCATCTGCAGTTCACTGAATTACTTTACTTGTTTCTCTTCACTGCAGATAACTGGGACTATAAAGTGACACTAAACTCAGGAGTTAGATATAAAAAATGCATTCATGTGTCTCAACTATTAACAAAAATGTATCTTCTTTGTTTATCACTCGGCTGTAGATCCTCAAATCATCTCTGAATTGGTGCTGACACTGTCCTTCCTTCTGGAGGGTGGCTACTTTTGTTCTCCATGGTCCCTGTGTGTGTTGCAAAGTATCCCTAAAACAATGCACAGCGCTGAACCTCTTTTAACAATATATAAAAAAAAAAGTATGTCTAAATGCTGAAAACAAATATAATCAACCTCCAATAAATGATTTAAATCCAAAGTGATAAAGTTCACAGTGTAAGTCTCTTATGAGACTTAATAAGTGTCCAATAAATCTAACAGTGCATAAGTGTTTATATACATCAATATCAAACAGTGCTCAAATGCAGAAGTGTTGAATAATTTTTTTTTCCTCGGTATACACTCAGGAAAAAGACGGGTTTAATGTAGATCAGAATACACATATCTCATCGCATAATATACCACAGTGGTTGACGGAAGCCGGGGTTCAACATAGACTTGAAAAACTAAATGCAAATAAAGCATTAGGGCCGGATAACCAGCACCCCAAGGTGCTTAAAGAACTCAGCCAGGTTATAGCGAGACCACTATTCCTCATTTTCAAGGACTCCTTAATGACTGGTAGAGTACCAAGCGACTGGCGGAGGGCTACGGTAGTACCAATATTTAAAAAGGGGTCAAAATGCCTACCAGGGAACTAAAGACCAGTCAGTCTTACATCCATAGTATGTAAATTGTTAGAGGGAATGATTAAGGACTACTTAGTAGAGTTTGTTCATGATAATGGTATAGTTAATGATAATCAGCATGTGTTTAGGAAGGACCGTTCCTGCCAGACCAACCTACTAACATTCTATGAAGAGGTGAGTAGAGATCTGGATGGAGGGAGGCCGGTGGATGTGGTATATTTAGATTTTTCAAAAGTGTTTGACACAGTACCACATAAATGCTTACTACACAAGCTGAGGTCCCTGGGCATAGATTGAATGTTGTGTACATGGATAGAGAACTGGCTACAAAAACATGTCCAGAGAGTATCTATAAATGGCTCCTTTTCATATTGGTCAAGTGTCAAGAGTGGCGTGCCACAGGGATCTGTGCTGGGCCCCATGCTATTCAACCTGTTTATTAATGACATCGGGGAGGGTGTGAATAGCCATGTTTCCGTGTTTCCTGATGATACCAAAATCGGGAGTGTAATAGACACAGACTTAGACATTATAACATTACAGGAGGACCTGGATAAAATAAGGGAGTCGGCAACTATATGGCAGATGAGGTTTAATGTCGATAAATGTAAAGTAATGCACTTTGGGGTTATAAATAGGCAAGCGGAATACACATTAATGGGAACTCCACTAGGGAAGTCAGAAATGGAAAAAGATTTGGGGGTCATTGTCGACCACAGATTGAATAATAGCTTGCAATGCCAGGCTGCGGTAAATAAAGCAAGCAGAGTATTGTCTTGTATTAAAAAGGGAATTTACAGACAGTCGGCAACTATTCCCCATTTATCTTGAGGTTGTCGCTCCCCCCCTTTTGCTGTTTCTCCCTCTTTTGCCCTCCTACTTTTCATTCCTTCACACCTTGTGTCTTTTACTCTGTGCCTCCTGGCTTCCTTTCCCTTCTTCCTTCTTGCTATCAATTCAATACTTACTGATATTCAACTTCAGTTACTACGCCTTCCCCAGAAGCACAAGCTTCGCCACAAGCCTACCTTTGTATGCTGGGTTGTCGACGTAGTCAGTTTTACACTACGCTTTCACACATGTCGGACCGTTGTCCGAGCACATACCTTATAATATGTTCAAGCGAGCTTCGATATCAAGCATGTTACGCACGTATGAACTTTGTAACCCATTCTGGAGCTACCTGACATATTTTGTATGTTTTACTATGCTCAATAAAAAACAAAATTTTTTGTGAAAAAAAAAAAAAAGGGAAATTACTGTAGAGACAAATCTATAATTTTGCCACTTTATAGATCACTGGTCTGACCTCATCTGGAGTATGCAGTCCAGTTTTGGTCACCAATCAACAGAAACAATGTTCTTGAACTGGAAAGAGTCAAGAGAAGGGCAACCAAACTAATTAAGGGGCTGAAGACGAACGCTATGAGACAAGGTTACTAAATTTAAACATGTTCACGCTGGAGGTGCTGAGATATGATTTTCCTGTGCAAGATGTTTAATGGTGATAGCAACATCAGCAATAAACTTTTTCCAGTAAGCTCCATAACAAAGACTAGAGGCCACCACCTAAAATTGGTGGAGAAAGGATTTCAGCACAAGGGGCGTAGGGGGTTCTTCTCAGTTAGAGCGGCTAGGGTCTGGAACTCGCTGCCGCAAGCAGTGATTTCAGCTGGGAGTTTTGAATCATTCAAAAACATTTGGACAATTTCCTCAGGGACCATAACATACAGGGGTACAGGTACCCTAAGAACATGATCACACATACACATGCAGTATCACATGCATCATACACAATGGGTTGAACTTGATGGACCTGTGTCTTTATTCAACCTCGAATACTATGCAACTATTTAACTATATATACAGCAATGGAAAGAATGCAATGATGGCAAAATATGCAAGCAGGACCATAATTAGGACTTAGCAATGGAACCAGACCTGAAAAAAGATGAAGGGATGAGCATTAAAAGAACTGGTTCAGGCAGTACGATCTGATTGGATGCCCCTGAGAATGTTGTTAGGTTTTTACTGCAAAAAGAACCAGCTAGCAGGAGGAAGGTAGGAACACAAAGGATGTGTCAATAGCACATGTACTGATCCTTGTTACCTTTTCATTCAGTGCGTGGTTCTTGATGGTGAGGTCATCATGCTCAGAAAGGGTTACTGCCAGCAGATCTTTCAAACGAAATAACTCATCTTGCAGAGATCTGTTCTCCTCCTTCAGACCAAGGTCAGTAAATGTGTCTGTGAAGCCTAAAGAAACAGGACAAATACAGGGACAAGAAAAACATGCTATTGTTATTCACAGATACGAGATAGTGAGTGTCTTTAAATGGAGACTTCAATGGTTTTGTTACAAATGAACATTAAACATATGACAAAGGATTCCCAGACCACTACGGGTTAACCAAAAAGATAAAGCTAGAGAGATATAGATAAAGCTAGAGAGATAGAGCTGTCTGATAAAGGTTGGTTTACTCCTAGGATTTAGAGCTCTGTCAGCTGTGTGGATAAAATAATTCATAACATTTAGATGTAATATTTAATATTTAAACTAAAAAAAACCCCACTGTACAATCCTTTTAAGAAATATGATATTTTTAATAGAACATTCACGTTTAATAAAGTTCTTTGTTAAACAAACCCTGAAAGAAAAAGAATATTCCTCTGGACAAAGGATTTCTGTTTCTGTTGTTCAACATTAGGGTGACTGCAATACATATGTGAATCATATGGGTATCTTATGGGTACTATCTAGCTATGCTTTGGGGAAATCTCACCAGCATATGTAGTGGATGATTTGGCCTCACCCCTTGCTCTGCTGGCAGCCCTAAAATGTTGGCTTTCTCCTCACTTTCTGTCTTGATGCCAGTGGTCATCAGGACAAATAGAAAGGATGACTCTCCCAAGTGGGGACAAAGGACAACAATAAAATCCTGACAGAGGTTCTAATCCTTCCACGTGTTGGTTATGTGTTTAGATGAAGCACTGTGATCTTAAAGGAATGCTGAATTAAGTGTTACTTGATTAGGAGCACATTACATTACATTAGAATACAGCATTATAGAGCATTGTAGAGGGAAACCATCTTCCTGTATATATCATAGATAAAACATGCATACGCATAGAGACTAACATTACACTACATCGCCATCTAGTGCTCAAAAGACATAGTTACAGTATGTGCTGGTGTATTTCAAACACCCCTTCTCAAGAGCATATGTGTTGCTATATGGCGCTTAGTTTCTCTTGAAGGAAGCTGTGATAATCCTTTTCACTTGTGGATAATCCTTGACAATTGTGGCTTGTCAAGAATCCATATTGCTTCTTGACAACCCTGTGCTGCAGCTATGTATTCAGCTTCAGTTGAGGAAAGTGCAACAGTTGTTTGCTTTCGGCTAGACCAACTTATGGTTCCTTCCCCGCATTGGAAGATGTAACCACTTGTGGATTTGCGGTCTGTGCAGTCTCCTGCCCAATCAGCATCCGCATAGCCAACTAGTTTTGGATTTGACGCTGCTGGTAGTGATAGCTTCATCTTAATTGTTCCTTTTTAGTATTGTATTACCCTCTTTACGGCGTTCTAGTCAGGCTGACAAGGTGCTGCAACGTTTTCTGAGTACGCCCACTGCTGTCACAGGAGCAATGTATAGTAGCTTTCCGGTTGCTCTGCAGTACATGTCATTGGTGGGTAGCAAGTTATCTGCTTCATTGCTCTTTTGGTAGCCTGGTTCCATAGGTATTTTTACTTCCTTTGGATCTTGCATGTGGAATTGTTCCAAAGGTTCTGCAGTTTTCTGACTTAGGTTGAGAAGATAGCTTCCATCTTCTTCTTTCTCTATCTGAATTCCCAGATAGTGACCAATGTTTTTCCATAGCTCTTTAATTTCAAAGTTTTGTTTTAGTTTGTGAACTATCTTGTTCAAAACAGGTTATAAAGTCATCAACATAAATTAGGATGTATGTCCATCTGTCTTCTTGATTCCTGGAATAAAGAAAGGGATCTGCTTTGCTTCTTGTGAATCCCTCTTTTGTGAGTATTTCATTCCCTTTCTCATTCCACATTCTTGCAGATTGCTTGAGTCCGTAGATGTTCTTGTGGAGTTTACACACAAGGTTGTGTCCTTGCTCAAACCTTGGTGGTTGCTAGATGTAGAGATCTTCCTTAATGTCTCCATAAAGGAAAGCGGTTTTAACTTCTAGTTGTTTCACTCGCATGCTGCGATGCTAAGCAGTGTTCTGATGGTGGTGTGTTTTATGACGGGTGCGAATGTTTCATTGCAGTCTTCTCCACATTTCTGGGAGTATCCCTTGGCAACTAATCTGGCCTTGTATTTGTGGATATTTCCTTCTGCATCGAGCTTCACCTTAGAAGTCAATTTGCTTCCAATAGTTCTGCAATCAGGGGGAAGTGAGTGTCCAGGTTTTATTTTTTTGGAGTGATTTTATTTCTTCTTCTGCTGCCTGTCACTATTGATTGGTTCGCGTTTTGGCAGTTTTTCTATGTCTTCCCACGATGCTGGTTCGAGTATGTTATGTGACTTAGCAGTATATGACAGCTTGCACGGTGGTATTCCCTTTGTCACCTGAGTGGATCTTCTAATTTCAGGTTGTTCAGCAATTTAACATGGAACTGGACTTATCCATTGTGAATTTCACCTCTTGTTCTGATTCCTGTGCGGCTTCACTTTGCTCAGCTTCCTTTGCTGGTTTACTGAGCGAAGTCACTTCACAACTCCTCGGGATCTTTGTTTCTGGTGATGGGTTCTAATCAAAATAAACGCTGCAGCTTATTATCACATTGTCAGTCTCTGGGTGGAGGATTCTATATCCCCTACTTTGTTCAGTATAGCCCACCAGAATACCTTTTTATGGCTGTGTTCTCCAACTTGGTTCACTTCTCCTTTGGAATATATGCGTAAGCTGTACATCCAAACACTCTAATGTGTCCTAGGCTAGGCTTCGATCCATGCCACATTTCAATGGGGTGCTTTTTAACGGCTTTTGATGGTAGTCTGTTCTGTAGGTAATGTATGTTGCAGTCAAGACTGCTTCTCCCCAGTACATCTTAGGTAGGTTGGCATCTGACCACATGCATCTGACCATTTCAGAGTGCGATTTTTCTGTCCTGCTACATCATTTTTGTTATTATTATGCAGGATGTATATAGCGCCAACAGTTTGCACAGCGCTTTACAATATAAGGAAGACATTACAACCAGAATACAATTCAAGACAACATGGTAAAGAGGGCCCTGTCCCTGAGGGCTTACAATCTAAAAGGGAGGGGGAAGTGATACATGAGGAGGTAGCTTTGTGGGGATGAATTGTTTGAGGATTGTTTGTTTCCATTTTGTTCAGGAGTGCATGGTGTAGTTGTCTGGTGTACTATACCTTGTTTCTTCAAATATGATTCCATTACTGATGTATTCCCCTCCGTTGTTGGTACGTCTAATTCCTGGTTTCCATTGGAATTTGTTGCTGGACATGGTTACAAACTGTTTTCTGATGTGTCATTCTTGTGCTTCAACAGATACATTGTTGTGTACCTGGAATAATCATCAATGAAAGTCAGTAGATATCTGTTCCCTTCTGATGTGGGAGTTTTCATTGGTCCGCACACGTCACTTTGTATGAGCTCCATGGGGTGGCTAGTCTTTCTTTCAGTGGCCTGTGGAAGTGGGGTACGTGTGGCCTTTGCTGCCATAGAGCATTTGCATGTCATGAGCATTTGTCCTTGACCATTACCCACTACAGTAATACTTTTCCAGTTTGCTAGGAAAACATTGTCCTTTGCACTGAAATCAATTGCTGTGAAGAATGACTCAACACTAGTCATGTGGCTTGTTACGCCTGAGTCATTACACCATCTTCGTGGTATACTGTTCTGAGTCACTTTAAAGATAGCACTCCATGATGTGCCTGCAGTGTCCTTTGTGGCTGCCTAAGCTCTTTCTCTTGTAGGTGCCTCCCGCTTTTGCTGCTCGGTTTTGCAGATAGAACAGTCCTTTTTCAGGTGACCAGCCTTTTTACAGCGAAAACACGCTCTGCTTTCTTTGTTTTGATTTGCTGGATGTGGCTCTTGTTGACTTGCAGTGTTCTGTTCAGTGTCTCGGGCCAATACCTGTTGGTTCTGTGTTTAGATGAAGCACTGAGATCTTGAGGAATGCTGAATTAAGTTTTACTTTCTTAGGAGGATATTACATCAGAATACAGCATTATAGAGCATTGTAGAAGAAAAACATATAGACAGATAGAACTTCCTGTAGATATCATAGATAAAACATACATAAGCATAGAGACTAACAGTGCACTACAGTGCCATCTAGTGCTCAAAAGACATAGTTACCATATATGCTGGTGTATTTCAAACACCACATTCTAGCTAAAACTAAACAAAAATATTTTGCCATTATATACATATCAGAAGGGTAAAGCCAGAATATTACTAAACTTGTTAAAGGATCTTATAGTTGTTACTTACAGCTGAGGAAGGTTTATGAAATCTGCACCCAGGAAAGGCAAGAACAAGACAAGAGGGAATATTACACAAAAGCTAAACCATGTAAAATAAAGTCATGAAATAAGTGAGATACAGTATAATGGTTTACATACAGTGCAGAATATATCTGGGGAAAAAAACCCCTTCTTTCTTATCAGGTAACAGACATCAGAGGCAGAAGGGATAAAATGAACTTACTGTATGGAGAGTCATCACTCAGATTCTGCGTGATGATCTCACGGATGCGTGCAGGGACAGGAGTAAGCATGTCTCGCTCCTCTTCTCCACTACGAAAGTTTAAGATTCGGTCTTCATCTGCACTGTCTGGATTGAGTACTGTGTTCTCCAGGCGCTGAAATAAACAATTTACAAAAACTTAGTAACAAAAGGTTATAGACATTTTTTATTATGAAGTATCATTCTTACTATACACTAATGTAAATATCTGGTTTATTCCGGACAACACAATTACATTCCAATTGTATGTGTACATATAACTAAACAGGAGAAAATTATAACAGGGATGACTTGGGCAGTAGTCCAAGGCACACAGTGCTAAAGCAGCCCATAGGCATGGGGTTCAGTCATCTCATGTGGCCATTTTCCACTAAAGCAGATAACAATCTCATGACTATGGTGGCAGAAAGACACCCGCTGTCTCCAGGAGAAGCATCGATCAAACAGGTTTAAAAACCTTTCCCAATCACTATTGTTTCCTGTCATCTCCCTCCCTGCCCTCCATGTTGTCATGAACTTGGAAAGTCAGCAGAACATAGCTTATGTAGTATTTTATATAGGTCAGAAAATGTAAGGCTCTGAGGGCAATCTGATTGTTCCTGGGCATCTCACTGCCCTATCACATCCATATAGAAGGTATGGATAGGTGGTGTTAGATGAAGGAACTTGAAATACGGAATTTGGAATTCGGAATTTGGAATACGGAACTCGGAATCCTGAAACGCTGCATTACTTGTGATACTATAAACATCTGACATCATTAACGATGCTCTTCATGAGGAACTATTGCTGTACTGGTGACTTTTCTTCAACTGAGATCCTCTATTAGTTCTTCATAAACAATTGCTGAAGCCTGCTCCAAAAGAAGGACTTGCTTTTACTCCTACACCCCACCAGTCCTCCAAAATGGCCTTTCAAATGGTACTGTACAAACCTCTGAAATGTGTTGGCTTTTTAAGCCTGTATTTATAAGGCTAAATAAATAGTTCTGGACTCTAAAACCATTGGTGTGGTGCCTCTGTCTCTTCTTAACGCCTCTTAACGCCTCTAACATCTATATGCAGCCTAAGAGTCTGAATGATGGACTTCAAAATATTGGAAAACTCTCACAGTATATTAAACTAAGCGTAGGAAGCAGATCTTATCTTTTATTGCAGCTTTCTTCTTACTACCAGGTCTGCTAAGTGACCAAGAAGCACAATGTGTATAGACTTCTCACAGCTCTACGTGCGTGTTTGACATCCGGACATAGACAATGATGTGGCCTGATTTGGCCCTTAAGTTCGACAAGTGAGAAGAAGCTGCTGTCTTAATCAGGAAGGTGGGGGTATGTGGGAAAGGGGATTTTTTTAAAAATAAATACTGGTCCACTTTAACTTGGAGAAGTTGTAAAGTCCCATATACTATCCTGTTATAACATCAGCATTGTAATAGGAACACATACTAAAGTTGTTTTTGATCATTCAATAGTGAGTGCTGCCTTCTGTCTGTCTGTCTCTTTGTCATAAACTTCCTGGTTTCCCAGTGTGCTTTGCGTCTCTTTGATGTGATGCAAGCCTTCATTTCTCAAGACATCATATCCCATCATGCATTGCTTTCAGCAAGCAATGAAAATATTACATTGTCAGGGATCCCAACCTGAAATAAGTCATTTCAGAAAGGCGCCCTTCTCATTTTAGGGAGGTGCTCTCTGTCCCCACCCCCGTTTCTCTCCCGGGTGTCCGGGAGCCGCTATCTAATAGCGGGAGACTCCCGGAACATCCGGTACATTTGAGATGTCTGCATTGTTCAGATGTTGAGTCTAAATCCCTTTTATATAGTAATTGCTGCCTTCCATCTGCCCATCACTTTCTTCAACTTCCTGGATTCCCAGTGTGCTTTGCATCTCTTTCCCTGCTGCTTGATGTGATGCAATCGCGATTTTTCAAGACTATATATCCCATTGAGCATTGCTTCTAGCAAGCAATGATAATGATACATTGTTTAGACGCTGAGTGAAATTGTGTCAGTGCATGAGTAAGTCCATCCTATAGGAATCTTCAATAAGTAGGTTTTCAAACTTCTAAATCAATGTGGTTATTAGGTGTGAGATAGAAATGATGGAAATTCAATACTTGACCATAGATATCCTTTAAGGCTATTAGAGAAGAAGCTAGATGCAAATGGGACCATCTAGTGGGCTGCTATTAGTAACAGTGATTGTCTCTTCATTACGGTTCAGTAAAAAACCTTGCTGAGACAGAATTCAACACAAGTGTAAATGTGATATTGATATCACCATTGCCATTAACCAGTGTAATAAAAGCAGCAAAGGGAGAACATGAATTCCTCCTAGAATACTGAGGGTGTACCTGACACAGAAACAACAGATATAGAGTGATCTCCATCCTTGCACTGTTTGGACATCAAATGACATATCTGACATATCCGTCACTGTGACCTCTCACATCTGAACCAAGTGAAAGCTATTGCGGATTAATCAGCAGTTCCGGAACCTTCTTTAAAAAATAAAAAAGTATATTTATTGTGACATTTTAACATCAATCCAGGAAACAAAAGAAATGTGTCAATGTGTCACTGTGTTAGAGCTGAGCCCCGGGCACAAAAACGCCATTTAAATATATGCTCATTGCATGCCTGTTGCCTGATCCAGGTCTGTGTATCTTCGTACTTCGAACATGGCAGATTTTAAAAAAAGCAGATATACTCACCTGATCCTCGGTCCCACCCATCTGCTAGACCGTTCCCTACAGCCTCTTCTCCCCTGGGCTCCGGCAGTCTAAGGCTTGCTAATGTAATGATGTCTTATGCAGCTCCACTGACTTGCATTAGAAGTGAGGGTGCCGAGGGACATTGCATAGCCAGAGCAGAGAGGCGAGTGCTGACCACCACCGGATCGAGGATTAGGTGAGCAATACAGCAATACAGCTTATTTGAGCCCCCACAGACAAAATGAACACTTAAAGGAGAACTATGGGGTCAGAGCTTTCCCCATAGTTCTCCTAAGGGTCACGGGAGAATACCAACTAGCGTTCTCCCGTGACCCAAAGCTCAGTATACTGCGAGCCACAGCTTGCGGTATACTGAGACGCCGCAGCCGGGACGGATCCCGACAATTATGTCTGGATCCACCCAGCTGCGGGATTGACAGCTGGCTCTGCCTATCTAGAGGCAGAGCCAGCTGTGCCCGTCTCCTCCCCCGTCCGTTTCGCCAGTCAGCGCTGGAGGATCGGACAGGGGAGGGGGGGTCCCTGCAGGGGCCATGAGTGACATTCACGGCTCTCTGGAGGGATAGATGGAGAAGTGAGCGAGCGACAGTATGTATTCACTCACTTCCCGATCTATTGAGCCGACCTGTGACAGTTTCATTGTCACAGGTCGGCTCAGATTATGAGGCTGATTGAAAATCACTCGCCTCATAATTCTGCATTAACCCAGGGGTGGACAAACTAATATGGAATTTAGGATCCAGTCTGTCCAATCCAGTATCCATAAGGATATTTTAAGGGCCAGCTGTAACTTTTAAGGCGCAGTGGCTACTTTCCTCATGGTATTTGACCAGACCTGACCTAACCCTTGCAGTGGAGGTGTAGCCCCACTGCAAGGGTACATTTAACTTTTTACCCGGAGTTCTCCTTTAAGCAAGAATCAGTCAAATCTGTCTGTTCAGTTATCGGTTCTCTGTCACTCTGCAAATCTATTGTCCTTCATCTCCATGTAAAGTGATGTGCACTAAATTCATCCATTGATGTTGGGTAGCTGTAGGCAGCACACAGAGGTCTAACATTGCTGTGTGACCCTAGCGGCAGGTGTTCCTGTATATTTATCCTGTGTCGTGTGTACACACCATTGTAGAAAGCAAGCTGGTTTCCTGCATCCCAAGGGAGCAAGCAGCGGCTACATGGAGGGAGAGGAGCCCAGGACCGCTGCTTCCATTCAGCCCATTCTCGGGGTACTGGCGCCCCCACCCTAGCCCGGAATCGCTTCCACACCTGTCGGTGGCTGTTGTTGACTCAGGAGGCCGCCCCACCCCTTCCAGGCAAGCTCTGGAGCCCAGCTCAAAGATTTGGCAGGTTCTTGGACTGTTTTCTTTCCCTTAACAGTCTGGGCAGGTGCCAGCCTAGGAACAAGGGAGTCAGTATACAGAGAGTGAGCGAGAGAGAGCTGGGAGGAGGGGAGAGGAAGGAGACGCCGAGTGGGAGAGCAGAGGGGGTGAAAGTGTGAAGAAAGGAAATGGACAAAGTCAAAACTGCAAAGAAGTACGAGACGAGTTCAGAGAACGAGAACATGTCGACAGGTCACATCAGGCACAATATTCAGGGGCAAAGACGGCCATACCAGCGGCTGACCAGTTGTAAAGACACGTCCTATAGCATTGTTTGCAGGATGACTAAGGTAGCCAGAAGAAGGCAACCGGTGGTCCTCAAGAGGCTTTCAACATGTTTCAGCCAGAAACTGATCTGAAATGGGGGCATGTCACTAGAATGTCTACATGTTTTGAGAACAACTATCATTACATAGCGATAGTGCCACGGACTAGTCATTGTAGAGTATAAGTCCTGCAGCCAGGACACCCCCTGCTGTATGTAGTGTTACTACAGACATCTAAACTCAACAAACCACAACAGACTGGGTCCTCGTTCACACGTCCTAAATCGGCCATGGTGCCGCAAATTACATCGTTTTTATGGTTGAAAAAAGACATAGGTCCATCTGGTTCCAACCTATTCCATATGTAGGTGTGTACGTGCCGTCATGGGCATCCATACCCCTCTATGTTTGTGAACTGGGAAACTCATCGAAATGTTTTTGAAATGATCTCCGCTCTCAGCTGATACTACTAACTGTGGAAGGCAGATCCACATTTTTACTGCTCTGGCACTTTAAAATGAAAACACTTCTAATGCAACGTCATGTTGTGGCCACGTATCTTCATTTTGAAAAAACAAATATAAGAAATGCACACTGCTTCATAAAAGAAACATGTACATTTATTATTTATGTGAATTGGAGCCAGTAGAGCAACCATGGTCAGTGGATTGCAGGTGCAATGCCCTGGTTCCTGCAGACTCCTCCTCTCCCTGTCCATAGTATGGCTATTCAGTACCATGGACA